TTTTGCAAATGAAAGGTATCTAGGCGTTATTCCAAATATTTGTAAATATGGCAAATATTCGGAGTAAAACGAATTTTCACAGACTAACAGGTACGATTTTTTGTTGAAGCTTTACTTTTTTTTGAACACCTCTTGGGGGCATTTGAAATATTTTTTGGTTACGAGGGTACTGTTTTTAGTTTGAAAGCAAACACAACGTGTTAATGTATGCATAACATATATATGTACAGATGCATACATATATGAAAATCGGTTTCGTAACTAAGAACGGGGATATTAAGTAATTTAGAATAGTGAGGAAGTGAGTGCCTATAAGTAGAACAAGCCATCCATGTGCATACATATACCGATGTTGGTATAAAAGTTATCTTGAAGGTAATGACAGTTTAAGTTCTTTGGCTTTAAAATAACAAAACCTACTTTCACTTATTTTTCTAAAATTCAACGTAATATTCTTGGGCGGCTGGTAGATTTATTTAGGTAGGTAGGTATATTTAGATGACAGATAATTAAGTAGAATATAAGTACAGCCGACTTTAAAGCCGCTTTTGATCGCACGTAGAGAACCTGCATGGACGACACTTGCAATCCCCTTAAAACTTTTACGGCAGAGGGCCATCAAAACAAAATACTTCCTAGCAAGACATAAAAATATTTTCCGAATCCGGATGTATGGGAGGTAGGCGTGGTTATTGTCAGATTTTGCCCATTTTAAATACCATCCGTCCTACGCCCGAAAGAAGTGTACGTACCAAGTTTCGTTAAGATATCTCGATTTTTACTCGAGTTATCGTGTACACAGACGAACGAACGGACAGACAGTCACCGCCTGATCACTTATGTATACATTTGTCTATATCTATCTCGATTCGTTTTACCTTTTACAAACAACCGTTATGTGAACAAAGTTGCGCTTGGGCATAAAAAAGGCAAAGGCTACCCTAGTGAGTATGTTCCGAATAATAAGTTTTAAATTTAACTACACTCACCTGCCGGTGGTTTATTGAAGTGCGTTTCTAATTATTTTCTAGCCTTAAGTTGCCCTAATAAGTAATCTACATACATGGTTTATACACAGGGGCGATACATACATATACAGGGCAAATACATACATGCCTTCTATACTATATGTATGAAATGTGGGTATGTAATCTCAATTAATACAATTTGTGTGGGNGGCAAAGGCTACCCTAGTGAGTATGTTCCGAATAATAGTTTTAAATTTAACTACACTCATCTGCCTGTGGTTTATTGAAGTGTGTTTCTAATTATTTTCTAGCCTTAAGTTGCCCTAATAAGTAATCTACATAGTTTATACACAGGGGCGATACATACATACATATACGGGGCAAATACATACATGCCTTCTATACGATATGTATGAAATGTGGGTATGTAATCTCAATTAATACAATTTGTGTGGGGATATTGTAAATTTGTGCTGAAGACAAAAAATGGCTCAACTTCATTTGACTTCATAAACAGAATTTGAGCATTGGCATTGTCACAGAGAAATGTCTTTAAACGGTAAAATGTCTGCGCCAACTGCAAACTAAATATGTATTTGTTTTGCGTATACAATTTCATAGCAAAATGTTTTTATCTTCTACGAGTATTGCAAGCTTAAGTCGAGCTTTCCGTATTAAATTTAAACTGCCTAAAAGTATGCAGGCAAGAGATATAACTATAATCACTCAGTGACCAATGCTGAATAGCAATTACTAACCCCTGCTAATAAGAATTTAGTATTTACTAGTTCTCATCGTGTTGAAGCTACGCATAAATCCCAAAAGNAGCTGAACACAAAAAATGGGTCAACTTCATTTGACTTCATAAACAGAATTTGAGCGTTGGCATTGTCACAGAGAAATGTCTTTAAACAGTAAAATGTCTGCGCCAACTGCAAACTAAATACTTGTTTTGCGTATACAATTTCATAGCAAAATGTTGGTTATCTTCTATTGCAAGCTTAAGTCGAGCTTTTCGTATTAAATTTAAACTGCCTAAAAGTATGCAGGCAAGAGATATATAATCACTCAGTGACCAATGCTTAATAGCAATTACTAACCCCTGCTAATAAGAATTTAGTATTTACTAGTTCTCATCGTGTTGAAGCTACGCATAAATCCCAAAAGGCAAATAAACGTTGAGTAGGTCAGTGCTGTAATTCAATTAAGAGCAATCATTATTAGAAATTTGAATATATGTACGAGAGATTGTATGTATACACATGTATGTATGTATGCGCGTGTAGGCATAGGTGAAAATACGCCGGCTTGGGCAAATTCGAGCATCTTTTTGTGGGAAAATGCTAGGAATTTGTATTAAAAAATTAACTGGTGGGATTTGGTTAATCTCGTGACCAATTTATTAACACATGGTAAACTTTTGAAAGCACAATTTTTAAGATAAAATTAAATTATAAATAATGAGTTGCTTAAAACACTTTATAATGGTGGTTTCTGAATGTATGCAAACAGGTTTTTTTTCGGGTACAAAAATTGAATGGCTATGTGAAAAAATGGCTGTGCAGGAAGCGGAAAATCATTCTTGCGATGCTTAAACCGACCTGAGGAAGCCGTAGGCAAAAAAGCTCTGATATTTACTTATAATTATTCATGTTGTGGGAATTCGGACACTGAAGGGATAATTTTTTTTTATTATCTATCAAGTGTTACACAACTAAATAAAATGTATACAAGTAAAAATGGCAGACGGTATATGGCTCACTCCACGACAAATAAGTGCACTTGATTTTGAAGAACCTCAAGAATACCTTCGTTAGAAATTAGAGATTTACGAGAGGAACGAAGTGACAATGAGCCCTTGGTAACTGAAGAGATTGTGGACGATAATGAAGATGATGTGCCTCCAGATGACTCCGATATAGAAGAGATCCAGTAACCATAATACGACTAGGAACATGAAATTGAAGATGATGAAGAACTTAATGATTTAGCAGGTGAAAACGGGAAAGCTATACTGGCAAAGGTGGTACAATTTGGTCTGCTGAATTCACTCATCATACTCTTGGCTACCAAGTCCACTGGTGGAATGTGGCACCACCCACTCATGATGAAATGCTGCATCCCGCAGTCCCTTCACGAATTCCCACCAAACTCGGTGCGAACATTGCTTAGAGCCTCACTAAGAAACCCTTTGAAAATGCTTGAAATCAGACAAGAAACTTGTCCACCTCCCATATAACGGTATTATAGAGAAATACGAAAAATGATATTTATTAGTAACTATTTAAGCTAATTTACTCAAAATCGCTATATAAAATGATCTCTCAGCAGAAAATGATACTTAGGAAATTTTTGGAAAATGGGCGTGGCACCGCCTACTTACGCCTACATATGTACATATGCGTATCTCGGTAAGTGGGTCATCAATTTCTACCAAACTCGGCACATTTATCAACCTTGGCGCAAAAAAGCAATATGTTGAAAATTTTTGAAATCGGACTACAATTATCGGTCCTTACCACATAACGGTGAATTTCAGAAATACGAAAATTCCGATATTTCAATAACTAAAGATGGCGTGGCACCACCGTGTTATGACTACATATACACATAGGTGTATAACGATAATCGCCTTATCGATTAAAACCAAACTTGCTCCAATTATTTCAATGTATCATAGCATATGGACTGCTGAGTGGAAGATCTCAGCAGCCAGTTCGAAAACGCCCTATCTCAAAAAACGTTTCAAAAACGTTCTATTTCAGAATTGGGTTGAAGAACGCCCTATTTCAGAATTCGTTTCAAAAACGCCCTATCTCAGTTGCCGATTAAAAAACGCCCTATATCAGCACATTTTCAATACATTTTGAAGTGAGATAGGGCATTTTTGAATCGAATTCTGAAATAGGGCGTTCTTCAACCATATTCTGAGATAGATTGTGTTTCAATGAAATTCTGAAATAGGGCGTTCTTGAAAAGTTGTTTGAAATAGGGCGTTTTCGAAGTGGCTGCCGAGATAGGTCGATCTTCCACTCAGCAGTCGATATTATGGAGGCATATTATCAAAACTGTTTGGCATCGGGAAAAATACTCTTGCTTATCATGCAGTTTACTGAAAGGTGAATATACGATATTTAGTATGTGCGCTGGGTATATAAAGCTCGATTTCGCCCGAACTTATACTTATTTACTTGTTTTATTTAATGTTTTCTAAAAAAATCTTAGATTTTATTGTTTTAAGAAAAAAATAGTTTTTTAAAATAATTACATTAAATATTTTTTCTATAACTTTTTAATTTGGTTTTTTCTTCTTTTAATTTAATTTTTTTTTTACTTCTTATTCTTTAAAAATAACAATATATATGTATGTTTTTCTAAATTTCATTTAATTTGTAAAAAACTTATTTTTGTTAAAAAGCATAGCATTAAGGGCATTAGCATATTTTTCAATTAGTCTTTCGAAAGACAGTAAAAAGCTTTCACAATAGGTGCCAGAATTGACAATTGTCTTACGAAAGACAAAAGTGGTGAGTTGAAAGACAATTGCCAGAATTGATTTGTAAAATCGTAAGAGTAATGCTTAGTATTAAAAATATCAGACAAACTCACTTTCGTAAAAGAATAAGCGATAAGAAAATAGTCAATATTTACTAAGCTGCGTTTCGCGAAACATTACAAAATGACAAATATTTGTTGTAATTATTAACAATGTATACAAGCACGTATTTACATACATTTGCAAGTGCACATACAATTATACATACATATATAGATGCATATGTAAATATATATGCGTATGTGTGCCTATGTTATTCGGTTCACATATCTGCTGCTACTAGCAATCACCTAAAATATTAAAACTACACAAGCAACCACTACAAAAAATGATTAATAATAAACAATTGTTGAAACTAGGTTTTTCTAGTCTAATACATATGTACATATGTATGTATGTACATAGGTAGTAGGGGTGTCCTCAACGCCGGAGAGGTCAGTTGATTAGCCAACCAACAGCATCCAGCGCCGCCGCCACATTTGGCTACACACAAATAATATTTGAATCTATAAATTAGCTGCAGATTAGTGAATCTGATTCAGTATAAGCTTTAAACTTGACAAGCAAACAGAAAAATACAAAAAATAAAGTGAGTGCTAAAAAATATAGAGACAAGTATTTTACGCGTTTGCACATTGAAAAACGTAGAAAAAAATTAATAAAAAAAACAAAATTCAAAATCTGTTGTAATCCTTTTTATTGATATCACTTTAAATCTTTATTTTATTTTTTTCTGCTTCTTTGCCAGTTCACCATGAAAGTGCTGTTCTTTCTCGCTCTCTGCATCGCCATGATTTTCGCCGTTATGGGTCAAAGCTGTCCGGCCAATTTCAAATGGGATTCCGGCAATAAACTCTGCCTGGCTGAACGTCCCATTCATGGTGAATGTCCTGCTGGTTCGCAATACAACTTGAACTATAATAAGTGTGTTTATGTAGCACGCGGTTGAATGCATTTATTTTTGGTGTCTCTTTTGTTGGATTATTTAATGAATAAGAATAAAAATGTGAAAAATTAGAATTTGGGCGAAATTTCTTTAGATTTCTTTTTCGAGAGCTGTTTCCGAGTTTTTCATTAATAAAAAAGTGCTTTGCTATTGATTTCGCGGTGTTGTGATGGAAGGAAAACGAAAATAAAAGAAGTGGTTTTAAACATTTATCGCTCATTTGATTCAATAGTGTCATAATCAAAAAAAATATAAATTTTGAGTTGAGTATACAGAAATTACCGCTACATCGTTTTCTATGTTGTGTAAAAATTTTATAGCTGCATACCAGTATCTCAATAGAACTAAACATTGAACTATTGAAGTAAATGAGCGATATACCGCTCGTTTGGTAGTACAACGTCATAACTCAAAAAATCAAAATTGCCAGAAAAGGGGGTTTAAAGTTTCGTTTTGTTTTTCGCATTGAAGAAAAATATAGTTATAAAAAATTAAAAAAAAAGTGACTGATCCATTTCCGATGTTATATCGGGAATTATCTTCAGATTAAAATATGTTTTTCTGCTTGAAAAATACATGGACACGTATTTTTTAAATTTTCATAGCACTAATTTAGTACTTTTTACGAATTTTTGAAGCTTCTGTTAAAAAATAATAATTTTTTGGCAATTTTTTTTGTAAACCTTTTAGTTTTCATAATTTGTAAGCTTTTTGGTTGCTTCTAAGGTTATTTGTCCCCAGTTTTTTTTTTTGTTTTTAAATTGATCAATGAAAGTGAAAAATTTTGATAAGCCATAACAATAATACGATTTTATGAAAAAACGAAAAAATTTTTTTCTCAAAAAGTCGACCTTTAATTTTCTTCAAATTTACAGGGTACGTGCTATTTACATGCTGTACAAATTTCGTTTGATATTTTCTCGTTTCTTAGGAGAAAACAAATTATTTAAATTTTTTCTTTAGAGCCTCTTAAATGCTAAAATTTTCAAGATTTCTAGTTAGTTGTTCCTTGAATGAGTTTATTTTAGATTTTTTGACATTTCTTTAAATATACCTTTAAAATTAAATAATTTTGATAAATGGCAATAATACTTAACCCGTTTGAAGTAAAAATAAAAAAATTATTTTCAGTATTTATACTTATTTATTCGTACAATTTTTACGAGATATATGCAGTTGAATGTACGCCTTGACATAATTGATCGAAAAATTCTGTATCAAACAAATACCCTGCAGGAAATGGAACTAGTTTATAGTTTGGCAGTAACTAACTACGAAGGGCGTTGGCCGCAAAATAGTGGGAACTGGTTTTCTCTGCATTAGATGTCAACTAACTTGTAGCTAACTACTTTTGGTCATAAACTATCAATAAACAAATTTTTTTAAATTTTTTACAATGTTTTATTTTATTTAAAATTACACATTTGCTTATTTGTTTACATGTTCTTTGTGTTTGACATTTGAATTCGATCAGACATCACATCAAACCAGATAATATAAAATTACGAGCTTTATTTTATTTGTGCTGAATACGAAAAA